GTTTTCACATTTTGGGCTATACCCCTAAACCAGGTCTAAACTAGATCTAAAACAGGACTAAAACCAGGTCTAAACAAGGACTAAACCAGGTCTAAACTAGATCTAAACCAGGACTAAAACCAGGTCTAAACAAGGACTAAAACAGATCTAAACACTAAAACATCTAAAACAGACTAAAACATTTCTAAAACAGGACTAAACCAGGTCTAAAACAGGTCTAAACCAGGACTAAACCAGGACTAAAACAGGTCTAAACCAGGACTAAACCAGGACTAAAACCAGGTCTAAACAAGGACTAAAACAGGACTAAAACAGGTCTAAAAAAGGACTAAACCAGGACTAAAACAGGACTAAACAAGGTCTAAACCAGGACTAAAACAGGACTAACCCAGGACTACTGCATGGACCGTGTCTCCTCTTCTTCTATCAATAATAATTTTAATTTGGTTCAGTAAAGTCTGGACTTTTTATTTTCTTTTAGCAGACAAAACATCTGATGTGAAGATTTCCTCGTCTTTGCTTCTCTACAGCAAATCAAGTAATCCAAAGTATTCAGATTACGTTACTCACTTTAAGTAACTAACTAACTACTTTTTGGTGTGTGTAATCTGTAATCTGTAGGGGAATACATTTTAAAAGTCACCTTCCCAACACTAAAAACACCACAGTCTGACAGTGTGAGTGCAGATCTGATCCTCCTTAAAACAAAGGATTCTAAAGCGTCCGCACGCTCCTTGGACGGGCCCTGCATCGCTGTGCAGAGGTTTGAAAAAACACATAAAATCCAAATCCAAAGCCACTTTAATTCTACAGCACGTTTTACAAACAAAACAGTTTCCAAAGAGCTGCACAGAGATCAGAAAATGAAGACAACAAAAAGGTAAACTGCTAAACCTGCTTTGGTCCTAAAACTATAAAACCAGTTAAATCTAAGACAAGCAAAACATAAAGATCATAAAATGGGAGTAAATAAAATCACCAGATCCCCCAAATCACAAAGGACACACACACACACACACACACACACACACACACACACACACACACACACACACACACACACACACACACACACACACACACACACACACACACACACACACACACGTGCCATTCCACCCCTCCCCATTCTTTTGTTTGCGCTCTGTAAATTCCCTTCTTTGTATAATTTTGCATATGAATCTGTTCTCATGGCATTTGCAAATAAAATATATGTATGTAAAAAAAAAGAAAAAAAATGTAACGTCACTCCAAAAATCCATTTGTTCCATTTCATCTAGACTTAAAAAATTGTATTGATCCACTGAACCAGGACTGTAGACCTGGTTTAGTCCTTGTTCAGTCCTGGTTTAGTCCTGGTTCAGTCTTGTTTCAGTCCTGGTTTAGTCCTGTTCAGTCCTGGTTTAGTCCTGGTTTAGTCCTGGTTTAGTCCTGGTTCAGTCTTGGTTCAGTCCTGGTTCAGTCCTGTTTTAGTCCTGTTTAGTCCTGGTTTAGTCCTGGTTTAGTCCTGGTTTAGTCCTGATTCAGTCCTGGTTTATTCCTGGTTTTAGTCCTGGTTCAGTCCTGGTTCAGTCCTGGTTTAGTCAAATCAAAAAATCAAATATTAGTAACAAAGAGTAAAAATAGAAATGGTAATAATAAATTCTAAATAAGAATAAGACATAATTATATAAATGTAAATGTACATGTCAAAATAAAATAGAAAAATAAGTCAAATAAAATATCAATGAAATCATAAAATTAAATACAATAATAAAAATGTATTGTTGTTCTACAGAGTGTACACAGGCCTACAGTTTGTGTGTGTGTGTGTGTGTGTGTGTGTGTGTGTGTGTGTGTGTGCGTGTGTGTGTGTGTGTGTGTGTGTGTGTGTGTGTGTGTGTGTGTGTTGTACACGTCCGCTCTGGGATTACCGCAGAGCGCGGCCAAAACTCGAACCCCCCACAACCCGAGGCTTTTGTGGGGCTGCGGATTATCCTGCTGATTTACATTTTTTGTTTTCACCATCACATCTTCTCTGATTATATAAAAAAAATAAAAAATAAAAAATAGAAACGTTTGTCTATTTTCTGATCTTGGTTGTAATCTTGTTTCCTCGCCACAAACAGACCCGGAGTTGTGTTTTGTTGCGTTGCATTCACGTATGTTCAACGCGCAATCTCTGCATGTTTAGGTCCTTCTCTCAAGATGAAAACCACTTGAACCCACTTTGTGATGTCATGCAGTGATACAGGAAGTGCTCCATACACCTTCACTTGAATAATCTGGATCATTTCAACCCCGGAATTGACAATCTGTGCTGAACTAAAGGGAAAAAGGAGTTACTCAAACACAAGTCCAGGTCTGTTTTTGATGAGGTAACAACATTCTAACACAAGAGAGCGCCAAGACTCAATTTTGTGTAATATAATAAAGTTTTAACTGAATTTATGAGTCCAAAATATGTGTTAAAATATGGTTACTGCAGGACTGAACGTGGTTATCATAGTTATCAAATATTGCATCGTTCTCATATGGTGCTGACCTAGATTCAGTCCACTGTGCGTGTGTGTGTGTGTGTGTGTGTGTGTGTGTGTGTGCGTGTGTGTGTGTGTGTGTGTGTGTGTGTGCGTGTGTGTGTGTGTGTGTGTAGCCGGAGGAACCAGTTGGACGGGTTCTGTCTGTGACCAGGACAATAGTAAAAGGTAGTAAAGTTTTGACTATTGTGCTGGTCACATGTACAGAGACTAAACTCACCTCAGATCACTGTACCACTGTACCACTGTACCACTGTACCGCGCACAGAACCAGAACCACACACAGAACCAGAACCACACACAGAACCAGAACCAGAGACACAGAACCAGAACCACACACAGAACCAGAACCAGAGACAGAAACAGAACTAGAGACACAAAACTAGAGACTAGAGACAGAACAGAGAACAGACAGAACCAAGACAGAACCAGAGACAGAACCCAGAGACAGAACAGAACAGAGAGAACCACAGAACCAGAGACACAGAACCAGAGACACTGAGGCAGCCACATGCACCTGACACCTGAGATGCATTTCCACCATCATCCTCATCATCCTCACCTCATCATTCAAAAATAAATGTCAGAATAGGCGAAGATTCATTTGTATTAAAAATGAAGAAATTATGAAAGAAACAAAAGTCAAAACACACAAAAATGTGCCTGAGTGTGATTGGGGGTTAAACACCAAACACACATTTTGGTCAACAATGGGAATCTAAAACTATTTCTTAATTTTCACATGAATTTTGTATATTTTATTTTTATTTGCTGAAAGCCGAGGTTTGAACTCAAAACCTTTAGTCAAAATTACCCCTAAAACCATATGAAAAGTACTTTTTACTTTTAGGTCCTGTTCAAAAATGTAGTGGAGGAGAAAGTACAGATATCTGCTCTCAAATGTAGTAAAGTAAAAGTAAAAAGTATCCATTTAAAATAAATAAAGTGCAGGTCAATACAAACTGACAAGATGGGATTGTTGGAATGTTCCAGAGTACAGTATTCAACTTGGCTCTTATGCAACTACAAATGTTTTTATTACTTAAAATAGTATGAAAAACATTTCCTGCATTCTTAGGATACACTGAGACGCCTCTCCACAGATCTGACCTGTAGCTTGACCTAGTTTCTAGTATCTGCTGATCTTCATGCACATAGATGAGTTCAGGGCTTTATTGTGGAACATTACAGACAAAGCAACAACATCTCCATGGAGACAAGCAGTTGGTGAACCCTCCACAAGAAAAGTTACACAGTGCACCTTTAAGTACAATCTGATGCTACTTGTACTTTATTTACGTAAATGTGTGATTAAAGTGGATACTTCTTACTTTTACTTACAGGCATGTGTACTTTCTACTTCACTACATTTCTGAACAGGACTGAAAAGTAAAAAGTACTTTTCATGTAATTTTAAGAGTTATTTTGACCATGTTTGTGTCACATCCAGACTAAAGGTTTTGAGTTACGCCTCAGCTTTCAGCAAACAAAAATAAATACACAATATTGATTTATATTGACAATCTGTGTTGAAATTGTCAGTGTTGTTGAAAATCTGTCATTTTTAATCCATATCTCTACCTACGGAAGCCGAGAGGGGTCACAACAAACACAAACGCTGCAACAAATACAAATGCGACAACACAACAAAAAGCCACAACAAACCAAAAAAAGCCACAAGGGAAATGACCGCAGGACTCTATTTTAATGCAAACGCAGCAACAAATACAAACGCCACAACACAAACCAAAAGCCACAACACATCAAAAAGCCACAATGGAAGTGACCACGGGACTCTATTTTCCGACGGACCGATCAAGCGGCAAGTGAAGAAGAAGAACTACAACGTGAAAAGTAAAGGAACGGAGAAATTGGAAACGTAAGTAAAAGTCATTTATTGTTTTATCATTATTCGTTTCACGTTGTAGTTCTTCTTCTTCACTTGCCGCTTGATCGATCTGTTGGAAAATAGAGTCCCTAGGTCATTTCCGTTGTGGCTTTTTGATGTGTTGTGGCTTTTTATTGTGTTGTGGCTTTTTAATGTGTTGCGGCATTTGCGTTTGTGTTGTGGCGTTTGTATTTGTTGCGGCGTTTGCATTAAAATAGAGTCCCCCGGTCATTTCCGTTGTGACTTTTTTTGGTGTGTTGCGGCTTTTTAATGTGTTGTGGCATTTGCGTTTGTGTTCTGGCATTTGTATTTGTTGCGGCGTTTGCATTAAAATAGAGTCCCCCGGTCATTTCCGTTGTGACTTTTTTTTGGTTTGTTGTGGCTTTTTGTTGTATTGTATTTGTTGCGGCGTTTGCGTTTGTTGTGACCCCTCTCGGCTTCCGTACATTTAACACAAACAAATTAACTACACTGTGTGGAGTACTTTTACTTTTTACTCTTAAAGTACATATTTAAACAGGTACTTTGATGCAATTACAGTGCAGTACTTTAATTTACCTTCCACCACAGACCAGTACACTAAAAGAAACCACACATTCTCCAAAATGTCCACATTACTTTATTTCCATGTGAGGCATCCAACATTCTCATACACTGGTATTTGCAAGTGAACAGAACCAAAACCGGACCAGACCAGGACCAGGACCAGACCAGGACCAGACCAGACCAGACCAGGACCAGACCAGGACCCATTAAGCACATTCTCTTTATTGAGGCGACCCTGAGCAGATCTGTGTAAACACGTGAACATTCAACACAAACTCCGTCATGAACATAAAGACAAATACTCCTCTGTAACTGTTAGTGTGGACTTTAAATACTCACTGAGGCATGCTGGTGTCGCTTAAATACTGTACACCACGGCTCAAACGTTTGGACACATGATCTCATTTCATGTTTTTTTTTTGTTTTCCTTTATGTGGCTTTAAGTCCCGTTAATGAAACTACTGAACATCACATCAAGTTTGTCAGGTTGTAGTGTATTTTTTGGGGGAAAATTTAAGGAGAATTAGACAAAATCTTAACGCTAACCATAAGGAGGGTTTGAATCAGGCCTGGGATAGATCGCTAAATGATTCAAACATGAGAGAACAACATTAAAGCATGGCAGAACGCTACCCCCTCTTTAAATAACTCAACTACTTTTATTTTATTTCATATTCAAATCCTCAAAGTATCCAAGCTTTGCTTTGTCAACAGCGTTGCAAACCCCTGAACTTCTCTCTATGAGCTTCATGATGAAGTCTCCTGAAATGGTTTTCACTTCACACCTGTGCCATGTGAAGCCAAGCAAAGCTTAAAGGCTATTTTAAATGTTCTAAAACAAGTGGAGTTATTTTGAGCTTCTCTTTGGTTTCCTACAGTCCACGTGTGTCATCCATAATTCCTTCAGAGAGAATCTACAGCGTAAATAATCCTGGAAATAGAGAAACATAAATGAAACAGTGTGTCCAAACTTTGACCTGGTGGTGTAAATGTGCATATACTATGAGGGAAACGTCACACTGCTGTCAGAGGAACTGTGTAGTGAGACTGTACACACTAGAGTTATATTGAGACAGTAGTACAAGTGGATTTGTTAAACACATTAGGGATGTAACCATACCCAAATCTCTCATTAACTATTATTTATATTATGTTATTTATTTTGTGGAGGCTAACAAAATTGTGAACGTGCTACTTTTTCCTGACAAACTCTGGTTCTGTCATAATCAATTGAGAAAAAAAGAATTAAGATTTAAAGGTTTAATAAGTTATTTCTTCATGTGCTCTGCACTTAAACAGAGCAAGATTCTAGGTTCTATGTAGTTCTCTCACCATAACACTAAATAAAAAACACATAAAATGTACTCTGTGTGAGCTTTTAGTCATGTTCGAATGTTGTTGCCTCCTCAAAAACAAACCTGGATTTGTGTTTTGTTTCATTCACACATGTTCGAGTAACGGTTTATTATCAGTCTGTTTTTATCTCCAAAGCTCATAACGCTCTGTTCCACCTTGTGATGTCATGTGTTTCAAAGTTAACAGCTCATTTTACCTTTAGTTAAAATTATTATTAGTTTGTATCACCATAAATGGCAAAAAAACCCCAAAAAACTAAATCCTTACATTCTTCATTCTCATTTTGCTTATTTTGATACGATCATAACAATAAAATTTTGTGAATTCGTAAACATTATCATTAGTTTGTACAACCATAGATGACAAAAAAAATAAAAAAATAGCATCTTTTAAAAAAATTAAGATAAGAATTAAGAAAAAAAGTGATTGTATTTCTGTTCGAGGGGTTAGTTTTGAAAGATATAGAACTCTGCAATGAATCAAGTATGTATTCTGTTTTGTTTGTTTTAATTTATATTTTGTCTCTTATATATACACACAGTAAATCGCAAGTGAAATTGTAAATGCAAACCTGCTGTTCATACACTGCTTTTCTTTCTTGGAATTCTGTCATTGCTTAAAAGTGTTAGGCATTATAAGTACTTTTACTTCAGCATAAACCTTTTCGGTCATGATCCATGGGGCTGTAGTTTATGTTTTGTTTTGTAGTGCTGCAAAATGACCGAATAAACTACTACGACTTCTATAGTTGAGTAGAGATTGGCAGTTCGAGAGCTGAAATGATCCACATGATTCTAGTGAAGGTGTGTGGAGTTTAAAAACACAGTGGGGCACTTCCTGTTGAGTGACAGTGTTTTCTGTTTGAGAAAAGAACTCGACCTAAATATGTATTAATGTATGAATGAAACAAAACACAACTCTAGCTATGTTTTTGATGAGAAAATGACATTATAACATGGATCAGAAATAAGCAAATAGACTTGTAATTCAATATATTGTGAGAGCGAAAATAATTTGACGATTATTTTGTGATACTCTGGTTATTGTTACATCCCTAAATGCATGAGGTGTTGTTTTGAGTTTGTGCATTAGTGGAGCACAGCAGCTGATGACGTTATTGAAAAGCCAGAGTGTGGATGAGTCTGCACCACTCCGCTCTCTTCTGCGTGATGAAGCCCGGCGTGATGCAGTTCTCCGGGAGTCTGGGGCTGCCCTCCGCCCTGAGCCGCTCGCACAAAGCCTCGCAGATGCAGATCACGTACATGCCGCAGTCGTAGCTGTTCTGCTGCGACGGGCACTGCTCTTCCACGAACCCGGCCCTGCCCCCTCCGCCCGTGAATGCCTCCAGTTTGCGAGCGATGCGGCGGGCGTGCACCGAGTTGCTGCCGTTCTGAGAGTCGTAGTGGGCGAAGCGGTTGGAGCCGCGGTGGTACACCAGGAGGCTCCAGTGCGTGCCGCCCGCCGTTTGGTTGGAGTTATCGTTGACCGCCAGGAAGACACATCTGCGCGAGGACAGTCCCAGCGGCTCCAGGAACAGAGCCAGCTCCTCGGGGCACGAAGCACATTTGATGAACTGGGTGACCTCGGGGCTGATGAAGGTGATGGAGTCCCTCAGGTCCGTGAAGAGCTCCGCAGAGAAGTACTCAAAGGCAAAGCCGATGACCTGGTCGTTGAGCCACTGCTGTCCCTCCAGCAGAGCCAGGTCCGAGCGCCGCAGCAGACTGTCATGAAAGCTCAGCACCACCGGGTCCATGCTCCACCGTCACCACGACAACGCCTGCACACAAAACACACACTTGTCTTTATTATTACCAAGGTTGAATGGAGTCTAAACATCCATATCGAAGAAAGACTATGAGAGTTTATTTGTCATCTGAATGTAAAATATAACAGATTTATTTTGTATCTGGGGTAATGGGACTCACTGTAAGAGTCTGGCAGAAGCACATTATTGCTTTAAAAGTTTTGTAAAAAAGGAGGTGGGGGCAGATAAGTGTTTAATTCTCCCCACTCCTTTTCAGAATGATTGATTTTTACTTTTATTTTATCTATGAAGATTATATTTGTGATGAGTAATAAAATAAAATAATTTGCCTTTATGTATCTGTTGATTACTGCATGATCATGCAATTTATCATTTATGAAAATACCCGAATAAAAAATATTATTATACAGCCCTGTGTGCCAGTACATTACAATAAAGCATTAAAAATGCATTCTCAAACATTTGTTTAATTTTCCTGTGTTTTTCTCCTTATGTTTTCCTTGCGTACAACTACATTTTCTCTGCAGTTTGCACACTAAACACACATTTAACACAGTATAATGCATGACCTATAAATGGAACTTGTCTTTAGTATTACCAAACTAATAAAGACAAAGTAAAGTAAAACAAAGTAGGTGGAAAGGGGTTAACTCTGGAGTCCTTCAGTTCACTTTGTAATGAGATATTAAAGTTTAGCTGCCAGACGACACTGGCGTCTGATCCGTGCTGTTTTTACAGTGCAGTCAACACTGAAGTGGTCCTCTTCTGTGTAGAGGCTGTGTAGAGGATTGCATTACTGCAATGCGTTTGCCTCATCACTTCTGGCAGCGGTCTGTGTCTGTACTCTCCTCTGTAGGCTACTGGGTTCACACACACACACACACACACACACACACACACACACACACACAGCCCAGATAGCACGAGCATATTACAGAAACACTCCAAACACATGTGAACGTGTAGAACAGTTCCATACAGAGTAAACACGTTGTCATGCGTTAACCATACCTCACACAGGCACACTCAGGTGACACGGGCTCGAGAAGCGCATGGGAGAAGCGGTGCCGTGACCGCAGCGCGCACACTACCGTAAACTGCTGCTGCTGCTTCTCCTCACGTCTCATGAGGTGTTAACCAACACCGCCACCTACTCATCTGGAGCAACGACCGGACCACAGACACTTTCCCCATGAAACACCACACGTACACATGTTTATTTAACGTGGCGGCTCTAAACTCAAACTATTGTTCAGGACTTAAGTGCAGGTTTGATGACTGACGGAAGAGATGCCATCGTGCTGACATTACTGTTATTATTTGCGTTACTTACATTGTGCGAATACCTTTGAGTGTGAAGGCGACGCGCGCGCGGTGTCCGAGGTGCACGGCAGCCACACGCCGCGCCGGGGTGTAATCGCGCCTGAATAAGTGTGTAAAAAATGCGGTACGAGCGGTTGTCTGGTTGTTTACATGCTTCGAGTACTTCCGGGCTCCGCGCTACGTCGCCGCGCCGTCCTGACGTAGCCTGCCCCCGCCCATAAGCCCCGTGAACGCGCACACTCGCCGCTGCGCGCTCCCCGGAGAGTGGCCGCACTGATTAGCAAGGCAAAGGAGGAGTGTTAGCGACCGTGACACCGAGCGAACGAACCGAGGAACGGACGGACCACCGCGTTTTCTCCACACGGTACACGGCGCTCCGCTGCGGGAGAATGCGCCACGGTTACGCACGGATTACATTACCGGGAGCCCACGCGTACCGAGGGGGGGATGCAGCGGGGAATTAAATAGAGAGACTGCATTTGTAGCCTACCACCGCTCCTCTACTGCTGCTGCCTGCCTGTCTGCCTGCAACCGAGCCATCCTATTATAAAAAAAAAAACAACGTTGCGGGCACAGATCGTCTCCCGTTCAGCGCGCACGTTTCAAGGTAAGTCTCCCATTTTTTTGTTATTTTTTTTAGGTTTAGCGTAGCGGTGGTGATCTCTCTCTCTCTCTACCCCAGTGGGAAGGACAGCTCTGGGCTTTGAAGCAGCCAATAATGAACCTCTATTGCCTGGGCTGGAACAGGCAATTTTCCCCCTGCATTTTTATTACGGACGCGTTTTGGAGCCGTTTTGCGCATCGGTTCTATTGCGCGTCGCGGTCCAGTAGCAGCTCGCTCCATTCTCAGCTGATGTCGTGGATTCTGTTGGAAACTTTGGCTCGCTGCGTGCTTCTATACGGCGTTTTAACACTGCTACGTTCGCTCCTCGCTGCAAGCCAGCCATTCGAAACCATATGTGACAATCATGATTCACTCCAGTGGGATTTGTCGCTATGTAGTTGACTCCTAAATATTGTATGGAGGTGTTACGTAAAGGCAGCGAGCAGGCAGTGTTGTGCTGAGTCGTGGGCTGCAGAGGGGAGCGGGGTGGGGTAAACGGTTCCATGTATTATTTAGTAGTGGAGGTCAGACGGTACGGCTAAAAAGAGCAGGAGCATTACGCATCAGCAGGACTCGGCTCTATGGGCAGGGGAAGTTGCTGATTCATGGTCCGTGCCTGGCTGTCAGTGGAAATGGTTCACTTTTGCAAAACCTAGACTAGTATTATCCTGATTTTGTGCGTACTTTTATTTGTTTTTGGCAATGAGCAGGACTGCATACTACTCGGGAGGATTGTGTAATACTTATTTTGTACTTGTACTACAACCTTTTATGACATCAGGGTGGGTAGAGTAGCCCAAAATGTTCTCAAGTAAGAGCCACTTCAAAATAATATTACCCAAATAATGCACAAACTAGAAAAATAAAATTAAATTAGAAGGAGCGATGCAACATTTTTGTAGATTTTCTCACAGTAGGAAGAGGAACCAAAACTTTTAATCCTGTAAGAGTAAAAGTATACCACGAGAAAAGTCTTCTGCAAAGTACAATTTCTTTAAAAGTACATGTAGCTCTTGGTAATAAGACTGCAAAGCTACTAGGAGGGTTGTAATACACATTTTAGCTCTACGATAACTACAACCATTCTGAAATCAATTGTAGTACTTTGGAAGTTGATTTGCATGAGTTAAATGAGCAGTTATCTGGTATGTTTGTTTTGAATAGTACTTGTAACAGCACAAGAGTTCCAGTGTAGTGGACTGCTGATGCGGTGCCATATGTATAAGAGTACTACAGTAACTGAAGTTGTTTGGGTTCTCTGTACACGGACAGTCACAGTTTTTGTTTGACTCTTCCATTTTAGGCGTGAACTGCAAAGACTAAGTTCTCTCACACAAACAGAAAAACTCTAAAATCACAAACCCCGGCCCAGACAGTTTGGCAGATCATCACAAATGCACCTCGTTTCTTATTCATCATTGTCCTATTATTGCTTTCATGACGAAAGCGTAGACTGTAAATGGACAAAGCAAATCCGCTAACCGTCGCTTTCTAAATAAATCCATTGCTCTTCCTCTTTTTGGGCTTAAAATGTTCGGATTCACCCGCTCTGCATGATTCTGCTCTTCTTATTTCACAATTTTGTCGATAAGTCAACTCCTGTTCCTAAAAAAACTGGCTCTAAATTCACCCCTACATCTGCTAGTCTCTGTGAGCTTCATTTGACTGGAACTGAAGGCTATGGCTGACGTTACACTCTATTTACACACATTTTTTGAGGTCAGTTTTCACTTTTTTATGGTCTGAATAAGAAGCCTAGATGTGATTATCCCCTAATCAGCTTGCTTTTTGAATATGGGCAGTCATTTTTTAAGAGATTGGAAATATTGGTTTTGAAAGCTTTTGCCACGCCCCCTTTTTAGTCAACTTTTTTTTTTTTTTTTGTCAACCAGCAGCACACGTCTGTAGTTGACCAAGAATTTCTTTTATCTACTCCAGTCTTAGTTTCCATTCAGCAGTTTAGGATAAGACTCCACATAGACAGGATCTTTAGAATCTTTGTGGAACACACTCTACACATTGCAAATTTCTCTGATATGGCTAAGATGTTAAGACTTCTATCAGGTTATTGATCTTGTTTTCACATTTATTATCGACTACTTACTAGTTTCTGAGACTGCTTCATTCTAGGCTACGTTTATATGATGACGGTCTGAACAGAAGACGCATAAGTGGTGTTGCATCTTCACTTTTTATTCCACGTTTAGACGAGCGTTTTCGGGAGGAAATCTACGTGCATAAGGTGACGCAAAAGTGTGTGGAATTCGTTGGGTATGCGGCCAGGCGGCTCGGTGGTGATGTATGTGACGTAAACGTGTACGCGACGTGAGCAGATCAGACCAGAGTTTTGCGTCTTGGGCAGTGTAGACGGAAACGCTACGGCGGCGCGTATTCAACTACGATGGAGCGTATTCCACTTTTCCACTCTGGAGGGTGGCTTTAGATTTTTGCATTTTTAAGCCCCAAAAATGTCGTCACCGTCTAAACGAAAGGCACTTCCGATAAAATAGTTTGATGTTTTTACCCGCAAGTGTTCTTGTGTAAACAGGTCTAAAGGTAGTTTATTTTAAGACAACTTGTCAAGTAAATTGATCTTGCTGCTTGGACAGATAATTTCTCTACTTTAGGTCATTTTCTGGTAGATTTAAATGTTTATATCTTACATTTTGCAGTGCAGTGTTTGGTGTTTTTCCTCCTGTACTATGCAGATACTACCTCCTCTCTCTGTAGTAGTCCTGTGCTTTCTCTCTCGCTCTTTCTGTGTCTCTCAGATGTGCACAGGTGATGAGGGTAAAGTGGGCCTGTCCCGTTGGAATGTGGGCCCTGAGAAGAGCCAGCTGCCCCAGACATCTGACACCCTGCAGGCCCAGTGCCCTCCTGTGTGCGCTGCTCCCGAGAGACGCACGGCCCCTCTCCCTTTGAGCTCATTCACACACACTACAGCACAGCCTCGAAAACACTGTAGTCGCATGTACAACCATCAAATAGGACTGCACAATACATAAATAAAAAAGTATAATCAGTATCAGAACAAGAGCACATAGAATTTTTTGTATTGTGACGACGCAGATGTATTCTAATTCCAATTTTAATGCAATTTGTTGTTTGATTCGTGTTTTCAACATTATAAAAGTAACGAATTACTGTAATGTGTTGCTTTTTGCTGTAACGCAGTAATGTTAGGGCATTACAGGGAAAAAAAAATTATATTTTACTCACAAATGTCAGTAATGCACATTGTAATGCTTTTTTAACCTGGATTGAAGTAGGTTTTTTTTTCTTTTTTTTCTTTATACAAATTTGCTAAAGTCGCAGCGATATCAGCAGCGGTGAAACGCTGGAGATGCACTTGCATAGATCGTCAGGTAACCACGGGCGAAAGCACAGGCGCCGAACTCCACGCTCCACGGGTCTGACTGCAGCTGACGCGATCGAGCTTTGCAGACCCCCTGTTCCACGGGCTCAGGTTCTCTCTCACTCCAAGTTCTAGTCCAAGATTAGTCATGGTTTAGTCTTGGTTTAGACCTGGTTCAGTCCTGGTTCAGCTCTTGTTCAGTTCTAGTTTACTCCTGGTTTAGACCTAGTTTAGTCCAGGTTTAGACCTAGTTTAGTCCAGGTTTAGACCTAGTTTAGTCCTGGTTTAGACCTAGTTCAGTCCTGGTTTAGTCCTCGGTTCAGTTCTGGTTTAGACCTGGTTTAGTCCTGGTTCAGTCCATACACGGCGCAAAACTTCAGCATCTTCGCAGTTATTTTGGTGAGAGTAACTTAAAAGTGCTGCAATAGTAGTGTAACGCCTTACATTTTAAATACAGTAATATTGTAATGTAACGAATTACTTTAAAATGACAGTCACAAGTCATAAATAACACATTACAGTTTTAAAGTAACTTGCCCAACAGTGGTTTTCAAATCATAGTTCTGTCCACAGTCACATTTCAGATCTACCCAGGAGCGTTCACGTTTGAGAAGGCTGTAAAAGCGCTTCACTCTTTCAAGAATCCCATGCATTTAGCAACATATTTGTAAGTTTCTGAACCTCAGGGTAAACCTTCTCACAATAAGGCAGGATTTGGCGTCGTTAGCGGAGGACGGTTCGTAAATAACCGCAGCTTTTGTGATTCGACGGTCGCATTAAGTCAATTCATTCGTTTAATTGTGATTGCGGCTCTACTGTCAACAAGCCATTATTTCTACTTCCATTCTTGCCGTGAAACAAAACAAAGCTGACAGCGTAAAAGATGTGCATTTGAGAGTTTATTTTAGACTTGGTTTTATTTACTCCCTCTGTTGATTGTTGTTGACTCATTTCCAGTGCAAGAAAAGGAAGTGATGTTTCAGAGGCTATTTATTGTGGTTAAAGATGTCTGTGAAGTTCCTTTTCAAATAGAATGAGCACAGGGTTTCGTAAACACTTCATAGAAAAGGCTCTTATACTTCTTGTACACTATGTAGAAAATAGTTGATTTCAGTGTTTTGGAAGGTTAAATCTATACCACTTACCTTTTTGTTAGTTCTGCTTGTGTTGAAGCTGGACTCATTGTGATAACATTGTGATCATATTTACCTCGGTTCATATGATTCAAATAAGACATAATAATCTTTTTGTATTGGGGAGCTTCTTTTGACTCTTTTTGTTGAATGCAATCGCCAAAGCAGGTTGGGCTGGCACTGAGCTGCAGTGAGGGAGCTGTGTTTCAGTGTTTCTCTTTCCTGTTCTTCTTTGTCCTTCAGTTTTCAGTGGAATTGTATTTATTCCTAACAAATGTTTATTGTAAGATTACATTTACAGGCTTTTCCGATATTTTTGAGCCAATACGTAGAGCCAATTTTGGTTTTCCTCAAATTCTGTCATTTAAATTTGCTAAACTGAATGAGAGTTGTGTAGTCATGTAGTTCACTTCACACTAATTTGTTCAAATAAAGCTTTTTGTGTGTTTTTAGGCAGCAGATTGACCGAAATGAGATGTCTACCAGCGCTGGTGATTTAAGGCCGATAGCCCATG